TAGGAGCCCAAGGGATAAATAATGATAATAATGACATTGAATAAGTTAACCAAGACTGGAAGAAATTTGTTCCTGGTTAACTACTGACTTCGTCCAATTTACAGTTATTTTAGAAATTACCTTGCTGTCATTTCCATTTCTCGTAAGAAAGCCCCTTAAATTCATAATTTTTTATTATAAAAGTGCTACCCGATAAAACTCGCTGCTTTGATATTGATCAAAAGATTGTTTATTTTAGTAAAGAAATACCAAAAAGGGAACTTCACAAAGTTCGTCGGTGAAGTGTCCTCACAATCTGACAAGTGGTCCATGCTCTGAACTATTCACTTCATTTAGTTGTCTGATTAACTATGGTTTTCCTCGGCCAAAAAGTTGTAGACAGTCAGTGAATAACACATCACCATATTTTCATCATGTCAACTGTAAAAATCTTTAGATTTTACCGAAAATACTTACACAATCATCACTTTACTTAAACATTTGATATAAAAAAACACTGGTAAATTATTGAAATAAGGAAATTTTCTGTGATTTTCAAGTTTTCCTCTCGCATCTTGCATATATATTTATGACTTCACCACTCGCACTTTGTATGCCTAAATTCAAGTTAGGCGGTATACTGTTCACCATCAGATAAAGACTGATTGATTCAATGTTCAATGATTGATAGATTTTTTTAACTGTTGTTTTCGTCATCACTTTTATCTGCAATAATTATGACATGTCATGGTATGTTTCACAGAGATTTATCAGTGACAATCAACATCATCCATAAATGAGTTATTACTTTTTATTTTTAAAAGACAAAATGAAGTAATTATTCAGTGTATCTGTCACCACTTAAACGCAGAAATTTACTGTGAATTCGATAGAGGAAATTCATGGAAGTTGTATACTCTATGTCATTGTTAATTAAATCTTACTACAGTCAGAAAGTCTAACTTCAAAGGGTTCATAGCCACAGATACACACACACACGAACAAGCAAATAAATCTCTCCTTAATTAGCCTTGCATTTGGTTGTAAAGATTAGAATAACAGTAATCCCCGTCTAAAGTTGAAGGTGTATCACAAAGTAAATAAATCAATCTATTAAATACAATTTGAAAGGATTCGTTAGCATATCTAATATGCCGTTTCCAGTTGTCGTATGCCTCAATGTCGAGAAGACTTGGTGTTTTAAGTTGTACGGCTAAAGGTGATCATGATGAAGTTGTGCTTAATTCACTCATCATACTTGCTGTCACTCATCAAGAAGGGGAATACATGACTTTAGAGAAACCCACGTTATCTACGGCACTTCAACTCACTCACACTGCTCAGAAAGTCAGACATTCATTCACTATGGAGAAGAAGTTTTCAGACAGCTAATATGCAAGACAGCACATTATTACATGAATAGGTCAGGTCAGTGTTGTTTATTTCTCCAAAATTAGTAAAGAGAAGTTGATGAAGTTTATAGATAGCGAAATCTAACACTTCTTACTCTTCAAAAATCAACTAATTGCATCTGTTATCCTTCTTACTAAAATCCTATTTTTAGTGGCCACTGCTGTACAGCTCAACTTTGGTTGTATGCCTTTTAGTACTCGATAAATGGAAATTCCTAGGAATTAATTTCGAACGGTGATATAATGTTGAAAACTGGATAGACAGTAATTATCTTTGGGAAATTTCACTAACTTCTTTGCAGATATATTCAGCAATGTATTCTTCAAACACTACTTGCTATCCCAATCTCGACTTCATTAGTCCACAGAAACTTTTTCGAACATCTTGAGAAACAATTGGGTTTTTTCGTTATATAAAGTTTCTATAAAACATCTGAAAGAGAAAAAGATTTGCTTGACCGAAGCACCCATAGAAGATCTGCTTGATGTCTGCAACATATAGCCTTTTCAAGATTACTGCTATGAGATTTAATTCTTCTAACGCCAGCGAGAGAGAAAACCCATACCATCGGAATTGGAAGACCATATGCAGAGAGGAGTATGCTGTTTTCTATGTCAAACTTTCACAGATCCTGCTTCCCACCAAGAAGGCAGCATTAGCATGGTGCTGTTGGTCATCCAAGGGGAACAATTTACTACCGTCACACTCCATCCAGTCGGCAGTAGGATTTCGCCCTCGGGCTATTTCATAGGATAACAATTTGGACTGCAATAGTAACTGTTTTTGTCTTACCACTGTCTAACAGACCTTTCTGGCATGGTAGGACCTCGAGGTAACAAAAGTTTCAGCCAGTGTAGCATGTCCGGTCATTGTGATATACAGGTCCAACCATCATGTCAAGGTACCGGCTACTGGTCAGGTGTAATCAAAGTCTACTGACAAATACAAATTATGAACCCCACAAGAATTTATACGTAGTCACGTGTGGTTTACCAGTTCATTGTTGATGTATAAGTTTGCATAAATGATATAAAACTGTATACAGAAACTTGATGGCTAAATAGAAAACGTTTTTGTAAGTGACATACAAACTGCACGGCTCACGCCAACATTTTTTACAGCTGAGGAGTTTTTGAACAGCACAAGTGTGGTGTCAACATGGTTTCTATTGGAAATCACTTATCAGCCGAAATTAAAAAAAACGTCTAATGAATTGGCGAATGATAGAACTACTGAACAGTCTGAGCAAATATGAAACCACTCAAACTGACCTGTAGATGCTTAGATCACTCTGATCTGGTTGGAGAAGTCTACGGATTGACTTGAGTGGTTTCAAGTTGTTCAGTAGTAGTAGTAGTAGTAGTAGTAGTAGTAGTAGTAGTAGTAGTAGTAGTAGTAGTAGTAGTAGTAGTGGTAGTAGTAGTAGTAGTAGTAGTAGTAGTAGTAGTAGTAGTAGTAGTAGTAGTAGTAGTAGTAGTAGTAGTAGTAGTAGTAGTAGTAGTAGTAGTAAAAGAACGTAAATAGGGATAGCGAATGGCTTTGTTTGGGAGTTAATATTTCTCTGTTTTACTTAAAACCCATCGCATTCAGCCTGTGATTCTGTACTTTTTTAAAATATGTGCTTGCATTGAGGATAGTAAGTTAGAATAACGTTTCTTTCTTCAATGTTTGTTATCAGAACATACCTCATTGGTTCGTAAACATACTTACTGTACATAGAAATGGGAAAAATAACCAAAATTAACCAATAATGAACAGATTCTAAAACATTCAGATCATAAAAGATTATACGGTGATATTATTTTGCTGAACGTAAACAACAGACACTGAAATCCACTATCATAAGCAATGGAATAGTATTGTGATAGGCATATTTTCTAAAGCACTTTCAAAGTGGTATCTACCTAAGTGGCTTCTCTACTAATGACGTTTATTTCTTCCAAAGTAGCTTGATAAAGCACAACCAAAACCATAAGAAACAGTAAAACCAACACAAAAGTGTAAAACTAAGACACTGTTGAAGAATGTTAGATTTATTTATTTGATATGCGTGGAATTCACAACAAGGCTGGAATTACAGTAGCCTTTAAACGTACAAACTCATTCAGAGATAAGCCTTGTTGGCTGGCTTGAGGATCCGATAGATCCAATTAAGCTGAGTAATCTAATCTACCGAATTCTATGAAATGATACTGAAGTGAAGTAAGACAACCTAACCGGTCGACGTCAGTTAGATTAGCGGAACATAGGAATTTAGCTAAATACATTGAATGACAGACCCCAATAGGATCAGTAATCTAGAAAAAGAACTCAGCTATTGCAATGTATAAACTACCATACAACCATACAGTAGGGTGACTAGGATAAAGCTACTATACTTATTTCAAGTTGTTATTCATCGTAGACTGACATCAGTTGGAGGAACAAAGGAAACCTGGGAGCACTGGACAGCTGTTTCGTCCTAGTCTGGGACTCCTCAGCAGTGCGCACCCACGACCCCACCAGCAGAGATCGAACCCGCGACCTTCAGGTTCTGCGGCCAGCGCGTTACCATTGAGCCACTGGGTCAGAATCCAATGCTCCATATTCCCAACTTCTGTTAGCTCACGATATACTATACTATACTTATGTCCTATATAATTAAGCGGAGAGACAAACTGAGATTGATTACTGAATCTTTTTTCGTAGAATCAACCAACACCCAACATCTAAACCACAAACTCCTTTTGTATACAAAAGTCTAGTTTCAGTCGACGTCTTTTGCTGTTACTTCTGCATAACATAACAATTTACTATCGCTTTGTCTATTGATTACCTTGGAAGCTGTGTTTGATTCGACGACAGTGCTTGTATCGTAGATGTGTTTACCTATGGGACTGCTTAGTAGCTTTCCATCACTCAGTGACAGTTTTTCCGGTACATGTTAAGGCATTTTTAGTAGTGGAAGTAACTAAGATAAATATGAAAGTTGAGTAGGAAAACAAAAACCTCTTCACCTTCTTTTATAACTAAAGATATGGAGTGAAATTTCTTTTATTCAAGCTCGACAAAATTATGTAATTTGTAGACATTTAATGGCATCTGCTAATGGCTATACTTGAGTTTCCAGCTGTCAGATAACTTACGGCGAATAAAAATATGAAAACGATCTGTAAAACACTTTCACAGAGGACAATAAACTTTCGGCGGTCTTCATTCCCAAGTAGAAGTTAGCTGTGCAAGTAGTGAAATTTATTTCTTACCTAATCGAAACTCTGTGTTAGAATCGAGTATCCTTTTGTCATTAGTTTTTGATTACTAGAAATACTCTAACCAATTAACATGCTTTTCGTTCTATTTGGGACTCGTCAGCTGAATGTACGTGGATCCCAGTGAGTGATGTTGTTCCTACTGAGAATTGAACTCTGTAGCCATCGCTTAGAACGCCAAAGCGACATCCTCTAGATCCCTGGGGCATGGAAGCCATCTCTTGAATGATGGATACCAAACAAGAATTAGAAAACAGTGTTGCATACTCCTTCTCCCTATCTAGAACGATTTAATTGTACACAGTGAAGAGAATTAAGGCGATCACATACACAGACACACACTAATAACTATAAACTTACTTGAATGTTTCTTTGGCATTTTGTACACAGAAGGCACATCATCATTTTGGTAAACAGTATTATATCGCATACACTGTACATAACTTGAGCATATCCAATACACATATAAGAGGATTTTTAGACACGTCGCATGACTATGATGTCGTGTAAAACTTTGCATGGCTAGTTCTCGTTTAAGATAACTTTTTTGTTAGTAAATTATAAGTCGTCAGTTAGTATATGCTTGCGATAAATTTATTTTGGTATTATTACACTGGTATAGTTTGACAATAGGAATTCACTAGACAAATTAATTACTGAAATGAACCATATGATGAAAGAATTAAGAAAGAATAAGTGAAAAAAACCGAATCTCCGATTGGTTGTATTTTGTCCTCTAAATGAACCAATCAGGAAAGAGCTTAAATGATGAAATAATTTTGTAAGTCAATGTGTTGGTATTTTTTAATGTTATTATCCATAATTTTAGACGGATAATGATGACTTTTTTTAACAGTAGAAACACATTATATCAGACGTAATGCAAAAAAAGTCGAAGCTTCCGATATTTGACATTGTTTAATGTTAGATAATATCATCATGGTTTGAATGAAGTTAGAGAACCACTGAAAATCTGGGAGCACCAGACAGCTGTTTCATTCTAGTATCGAGCACCAAAGTGCTGCGTACCCACGACTCCAGTCCTCTTCAGAGATCGAACACAGGACATTCGAGTTTCCCAGCGAACGCGTCGAACATTCAGCTACTGAGTTGGAGAAGTTCAATGGCCAACACATTCCTATTTCTGTCGTGACTATCCACCAAGATCTTCGGTCGGTATCTGCTTCACTTAGAGCCGGTTGACTCCATAAGTCGTGGTGTCTCATTAGAATTTCCTGATGTTCATATCGAAACATGCCACTTATGAACACTAAACAGTAGTGCGTTTTGAGGTTAATAGACTCCTTAATTATTTCAAGGTTGTGTCCATGGAGAATCATTGAGAACTTGGGAACACTGGAGAGCTGTTTCATCCATGTATGGAACTTCTCATCAGTTGATGATGAATACTACCTTAAAATAAAGTCCCCATTAACCCCCAAACTACACCGCTGTGTAATGAACACCAGTGGCTTGCTTCAAGATGGATATTTAAAAGGTAAAGTGTGAAGCTCAGACCTGTGGGCTAACCAGTGGATATTGAATTTGAGGTGTTGTGAGTATTTAGAGATTTTTTTCCAAGTTGCTATTCATCGTGGGTTGACATAGGTTAGAGGAACATTGGAAATCTGGGAGCACTGAACAGCCGTTTTTTCCTAGTATGGGATTCCTCGGGAGTGAGCACCCACGACTTCACCCGCCAGGGAAAGAACCTGCGACCTTCAGGTTCCGTAGCCAGCACGTTACCATTGATCCACTGGATCGGAATCCAATGGTCCATATTTCCAACTTCTGTCGGTCTACGACAGAGCGACCGCCACCCAGTGTTATCGCTGAGTATTCATCCTCATAGCCACCAGGAATGCTGCAGTGGTCACGACTTCTCACTGAAACTTCGGGAATTACCTCTCAAAGCTGGTCACCAATGAGCACTAGTTCAGTTGACTTAGGGATTTGTGGGAATCTAGAGATTCCAATGTTTGTTCAACTTATGTCAGTCTACGATGAAGACCAACTTGAAAAACAACCAATGGGTAGTTGCGCTATATTGGAAAGTGTTAGGAGTATGAAACTGTTGGCCATTGCGTTCAGGTCCAGTGGCTCAATGGTAAACATGTTGGCACAAGTCTTGAAGGTCCTGACTTCGATTCCTTGTGGGGCAGGGTTGTAGGTGCGTAACGCTGTCCAGGGCTACAAAGGGTTCGAGTCCATGATGAGTATTATCTTAAAAATAAAATCCCCAATAACCTTAAAATATAATTGCCTTTTGATGACTTTTTCCAAAGTTATTATATAAGAGCGATCGGTCCCACACTATCTGATATCGTTTCGATTGGTTTATTTTATCGATTACATCGAAAATTGATGCAAAATTCATCGAATAATGCTTTCTTTGGCAAGCAGTTTATTTCTCAACCCTCCAAAATCCTTTCAAAAAGTCAGCACACCAACTAGAAACTGGTCATCGCACAATGGATTGTGCCATTCAGATCATATATGCAAACACTATAGTTATTGAAAGAGAGAGTGAAAGAATATAGGCTATACGTCCGGAAGATACACTTGAAGAGGTACTGACGACTTTATGCAACACACTAATTGAAAATGGCTTTCCTGATAAATTCATAAAGAGATATATAATTACAAAAGTGCCGAAGAAGAATGTTCCATGCTTACAGAAATCTTTCAGCATGGTTAAGTGAAGGTACGGCAAAAATCATTGCCAGTAACATACTGGCACATTTGATTAGAACAAACTATAATTTGGATATGTATAATGTCATTTTCCATTCTGTACCGCATTCGGATCAACTTGTCAAAAGGTACTCAACTCCGAATCCTTTAGACCGTAGAAGCGGTGGTAATCAGGATCAAACAAACTGATTTATGTGTTCAGAAGAAAGGAGGTGTTGTCACTACAACTACTTTGAACCCACTCAGAATGCACAGGTTCCTTAGCATCCTGCCCTAAGTAACCTAATCTTTGAATTCTATTCTGTAGATATCCCCTAACCCCTATAATCTGAAATAATTTTATCACATTCTCTTAGTCTGTTTTTTTGCTCATATAAGTAGCATTATTCTACCAAACTATCATTCCTCAAATTATCTTTCTTAACTCATTGCCTCCTACTTTCATACACACCGTCCTATTGTTTTACTAAACTACTACCATGTAATAATGCATAAGCCGTATGATCGTTTAGATAACGAACTATTTTGAATTGATCCCAGTAGTAATTGATTCTGACAATAATGTTTATACGAGACTTTTACGAATTGACAACCCCAAACGTACAAGTTGTTAGGTGATATCTCAATGCTGTGGACACAGAATGACAGATTATGGACGTCTATGAATGTAGGAGCTGAAGAAGAAGTTACTGAAAATAATGTTCAACGTCCATTCAAATGGTTCTTGACCAGTTAATAAGAGTTTTTTATGGGAATAAAATGTTTTTTACTGTTTTCATTTCAATAACTGATAAGACCAGTTAGCAAATTACTCCTTGAAAGAATTTTGTTCAAAAATTTTCAGTGACTAGATAGCAAAGACACCAATAGTATTGTGACAACATTTTCCTAGAAACAGAACTTAGTACTTGGCTTATCAAGTATCAAAACCACATGCTGACAAAATAAACAGGATAAAACCAACCTGTATGAGGAAATCTCAACATGTTAGAGAACATACAGTGTTATGTTCATCAGTTAACCTATTCGCCAGTTTGCAATAACTTTGTCTGGCTGTAATTGTCTTAAACACGTGATTCGGCTTATTCATTATTAAAACTGATCTTGAATGTGATGGGTTTCCAATATGCCTGCCAAGTGTCATATGCTCAATCAACCCACACGATGAATAACCCAGTTGTGCCAGCCAAACTACGTACAACAGAACACAAAGTTTGATGTTTACTGTCCGTTTGTTTCAGGCGATCTCATTCATTTGCATACAGATATAGAACTAAATTACTTGACCAAAAAACCACTATAACTTGTAAATATCTAAAAACCCATTTCAAGAGCAAAATACTGCATAATAACGGATTTCATTCAACATGCAAATATTTCCGAAATATAGGTCACATTAAAGGCAATGAGTCAATTGAAACCGTTCAAACTGAGCTATACAATTATACTACTAATTAAGTAACAAGTAATAAAAATGGCTTACAAATAAAATAAAATCATGTAACCAGTGACATCTGAAATTCACATCTTCTACTCCTCGACTTATATAACATAATGATATTACAAAAATCTAAAGCATGACAGCTTCATTAAGTAAGGTTGGATAACTTAATAATATCTGTGTATTGATTACCTTAGGCTACTCTGTGAAGTAAAATTCTACTATGCTGGCTAAAACAACCTGGCCGCGGGACCTGAAAATCCTGGAGGCGCACTGCTGAGTAGTCCCATACTAGGACGAAACAACTACTCTATGTTTTCCAGCGGATATCAGTCCATGATGAATGCTAACGCGAACTAAACTGGTAACAAATGTATTATTAAATTCAAGAAATATAACAGTTTCTTTTTATTAGAAATATATATGTTGTATTTCCTTGGCGATAAATGTTTTTCTGGTTCAGTTAAAACAATGAAATAGTGAAATCTCATTATTTATTACATCATAAAGCATATCAGTGTTCATTTTAATTATCACTCAATTGAACAATAAAAATGGAAGCATTCTTGTTTGAACGGTAAATAAATATTCCTCTTTGTATTCCTATACTTCAGTTTGCCCCCGTCCTCACCCCCACTCCCATCTTTACTTCCATAACTCTTTTCTTTATCTTTTTCAAATGTTCTTCAGTTTATGTTAAGTCTGTACTGATCATTCGTATTGATTTATACACTTATCAAATATGATGATGCTTTTCACTTCATTTTCAGTAAATAACAACAACAACAGCACTAGTAATGGAAATAATAACAATCCTATCATCACCATGATATTTCTATTCCACTGGATAAATATATCCTATATAGTGCTGATAATAAGGCAGTGAAAATGAATTACAAGTTTTATGTCTTTAGATAAATAACTCTAGTGGTGTATCTTTTAGTTGGTTAGTTAAAGCATATGTTCACCTGTGTATTCACCCTTCATCGATATGAAAGTAAGGCGACAACAATGTTTACAAGGGTGGTAATGTGTATACACTTGCGCCTACCTAGTGTAAAACTGTTCAAATTTATATTATCTTTCAATGTTTCAACTGTAATAATATTAAAAGATATAGTTAGACGGAAAGTAATGAAAACTGTTTCCTTTTTTAAAACAAAACAACACACTTTGTAAACTTGATTCTAATATTTCTCTTCTGTTGTAAAATAGTTACTAACAGCAATGTTAAGAAAATTTGCTTGTAACTCTGAATCATGATGATGTTTTGTTGGATGAATGAAACCGCTTAACTCTTAGTTTATATGTGATTTTAGATGTGTACTAAGGAGATATGATAAGTTTTCAGATGTTTATTAAAGATTACCTTGTAAAAAACGCTTCGTTTTACTTTAACTTCATGGGGTACAGGAAACGCGTTTCTTCGCATAACTAACCAAACATATCATTTTAACTAATAGAGATGGAAGTGGTTTGGCAGACTAGTATTGATACTGGATAATG